CTCTTGCAGTGGCTTTGTGAACCATTACAGTGAGTCTGCACCACATTTGAACAGTTAGAGGTGTTTCAGTCTGGACAGCAGCGGGGTGGCAGGGTGGGGGGTTCTGATCAAAGCTCTTTAATTGACGTCATCATAATCTGGGCCAATTCTTTGCAGGAGAGTGTATTAATTCTTTGTGATGGTTGTACTGTAAAGGGAGAAGTTGAAAGTAAACATCTCTACCGCTGCCAGATGGTAAACAGCAGCGATATGTGTTCAGGGTTTGCATGACAGCATCGAGGCAGCTCCGAGTCCCATAGATGGACTGAAATGATGATAATCAAAGAGCTACTGTGCTACAGAGACCTATTACTCGATGGAACAACCGACTCGAGAACAAAGTGTCTCATTTTTTCCCCCTGCAAGGCCACAAAACTAGAAACGAGAGTCTGAAAATGTCCCCGCTTTGCTATAAGATGCTTTAATTACAAATAAGAGCCTCTGTGGGAGTTTCATCGCACAGCTTGTTGTGATCTTAGCTCTGCCACACTTGAGATTTTCAGCTGTTTCATAGTCACGCCTGTAAAAGCAGCGCTAAATGTGCTGGTTACAGTTCTGACGCTACGCTTCAAACAAACTTGCGCCGATATGCCGACAATCTAGATTACAGATTTTTCTCTTTGGCTTAACATAAAATGAATAAATCCCCACCGACTTTCTATCTCTATAAACCCATAAAGATCAGAGCTCTATAGATTCCCATATGTGCCTGTGGATTTAGAAGAGCCTCGCTCCAAAGCTTTTCTCCCCAGAAATAAAGAAGAAACAATAGAAGCTCTTTATCTCATGGCAACATTTATCTGAGGACAATATATGTTAATTTACTGCACCAGCAGAATACATTTTAAAGCAGAATTCCTTATAATGCTTATTTTAATTGCAAGTTTTGCTCGGGGCCTCAGATGTCCTGTACACTGTATTTATGCTGCTTATAAACTGAGTCTAAATTAGGAATGCATTAGTGCTGCTACTAAAATTACTGTTGCTCTGGATATGATGGGGTATAAAAATGCTTTCCACCATGTTTACTGTTGCCCAGCTTTGACAGTGCTCCGAATATTTATTGTCTCAATGCTGGCGCTCAAATCTTTCCTCTTTTTATGTTTACCCTCTAACAAGCTGTGGGAGCTCCAGTGAGATCATGACTGACATTAACAAGACACAAACATCGAGTTATCTCCAGATAATGTCTTTATTGAGACGCCCATCACATTTCATCATGAATCAGAAGAATCAACAAGTAGAAAAAGAAAAGATGTACAAAATAAGTAACATTGGGTTTGTTTGTAAATCTGTCACGCCAGGATCTGGAGGTGATTATTTCCAGACGACGCATCGACATCAGCGGTGACAACGAGGAAAAGGGGAAACGCTCCTGCTAAGCATTTCCTCAGTTCCTTAGGATCACCTCGGGACGGACGAGGGAAACCGATCCCGGGCTAAACAAGGCAGAGAGATAACAGGTAACACAACCACACAATCAAATCAGCAAAATCCTCAAATCTGAAATCAATCGTCCTCTGCAGACTGGCGTGGATCTGAGAGGGCTGCATCAATGACGGGGGGATAAAGGTTCTCGCAACATAAGAGAACAGGGAGAGTCACGAAGGGGGGTGGGGGGCAAAATAATGAAGTCCTTGTGAAACCTGCACATTATCCTCGCTGATCCACACATGTGGCACCGAAAGATGAAAGTAAAGGTTCAAGAAGGACTCTGAGATACCTGCTGGCATCTCTTTTGCCTCGCGCGTTATCATCCAAACTGTGCATGCCCTACATTTTAGTATTCTGTGGTTAACAATGTAACTGAAAAGTTGTTGCAATAAACTCAAATTAGATCCATTTTTTAATGGGAATTTGTTTTAGAACGATTTGCATCTTCTGCTGCAGAATGACGAAGATTTGAAGACATTTACAGAGACTGTGTTTAAGCGGGAATGCATGTGTCCTCTTAACATGTTTAAAAGCTGCTGCATTATGGCTTCTGGCAAAAACAGGGGGGGGGAGCACAAAACAAATCAAATGTGGTGCTTACAATCATCTGGAACGGATAAACAGAGAGATGAAGACAGAATGAGGCAGCTCGCTCAGCAGCGGCTCAGAGCAGAGCCAGACGGGGGAAATTGTTTATGTGCAGTGACGATATTGGGGAATACTCACTTTTCTCTCGGGATTACATAAGACGGATAAATCCTTCCCTAGTCTAAATATGTTATCTATACTCCACAAAGCCCCCAGACATCCTCTATACAGTCACAGACATCCCCAGTGTATCAGAACAATTCTTTGTAAATCTTGTAGCATAAGAAAAATAACAACTATGGAAGCACTTTATCTCAGAGCAAGCATTTTGTTGTTGTTTTTTACTCAGCTGATCCCTTTTGCCCCGTGTAGCTCCGATCCACTGTAGCAACAAAGTATCAGGTAACTTTTGTAGCGACACAAAGTGCTGTCAGGGCAGAATCCAGTTTATCCTTCTTCAATTTTTAGTTGTAACTCAGGAAGAAATCCATCCTTCATCGATCACTGAGGGAAAAGCAGAGGCTCGAGTCGGAGCTCGTCGGGATGCTCTGATTGGTCGAAGCGCTTCACTTCTGACCGGCTACAGCTCGTCTTTTCGTGTCCGTCCAATCACGGTCAGTTTGGAGAGTTGAGCGCTGAACTTTCCATCCTTGTGGGTCACTTGAGGTTAAAAAAGAGAGGAAATGCATGAAATGCTGCCACAGATGACGACAGAGCAAAAACAATCATTCAGCTGCAAACAAAGCAGAAGGAGAATAACAGGACATCACAGCTGTAGGTTTGATGAGCTCCACCTACAGGTGAGCTGGTGTAAATGATATTCCTGCTACCTGCAGGCAGTGAGCCCAACAGCAACGTTGCTGATCCTGTTAAACACAAACAGCATCTTTATCTTTTATGTATTTGAAAAATTCTATTTCAGCATTTTTCAGACATGCACTAAAAAAAATGCTTATTTGCTTTTTCGAAGAGTGGAAAGAAAAAAAACACATTGTCTGTTTATTATACGCAGAGCTAGAAACAACAGCGTGGCGAGCTTAGCTTACAATGAATGCAAATGATAATTTAACCGTTATTACACTGGGGAGATATTTAAACATATTTTTATTCCAGGCAAGCAGTTCCCATAAAGCAGGGGTGGGCAATTCATTTCCCCGGGGGCCACAGCTTATTGGTGCGGCCCTACACAACAGTCCCGGTGTATCATGTGGCCCTTTGGGAAAATTAATTGCCCACCTTTACTCTAAAAGCTTAAATATGATCAGTTATTTTGTAATTTGATGGAGTCGTACATTAAAATAAATTTTTGGATTCAGGGGCTGAATAGTTGATGCATGTTGCAGCTGTTAGCTTATAAACAAATGTAAAGGAAAATGTGTAATAAGTGGACTTCAAGCAATTTAATTAAAGCCTTACAAATTAAGAGCCTAACCATAACCTTAAAACATGTCCTAGCCTAAAATAAAACAGCACTTATAATAAATCACAAGCTGTAACACTCACTGCCTCCATGTGGCACAAACATAAGCAAAAAGAAAGACTCTTTCTGTAGGTGGACATGTTAGTGTGTCCTTATCTGCACGTCTGAGCTTCAGTTGCTCTATAGATGCTAAAGGTCGTAGGTTTGTAATTAATACACTCTCCACTGTTAAACAGTCTATCAAAACAAATCCAGACTGCAGGTGTTTTCCAGCATCTGTAACTGTAGCGTTTAATCTGCTGCAAAAGACACAGGAAATTGCTGGTCAGCTCGACTCGTCAAATCCTGCTAATCACAGTCTGGAGCATCGGTTTGCGCGGAAACAGAATAACAAGAAATAATGCTACAGGGACAAATGACAACCCACTCACAGCTGGAGCATATGCTTTAGAGGGAAATCAGCAGGGTACTTGCAGCGTGATGGAGAGGGAGGGAGGCAGACGGAGAGAAGGAGCAAGGGATTGATGTGACAAGCAGAGGGAGTTGATTGAACACTTGGAAACACAATAAATTTCTCACCTGTTGATTCTCCGATGGTGAATTCTTCTGGCTTCAAAGGCACGTCGCTCTGTCCTCCTGCTGCCGACTGAGACTGGAAACGCAAACAGCAGCCACGATGAAGACGAGGAGGAGGAGAGCAGGGGAAGAGAGACAAAAAAGAAACAATGAAACAGAGAGGGAAACAGGATGAGAGGCGGCACAGATGACAACAGTTTTGTTTGGAACAGACGGGCCGGGACAGTAGGAGGACGTGACGGCAAGGTCAAGGAAATGCTGTGCGGGGGTGGCAGGTGTGTTTGTTTGTGTGTGCAAAGTTATTTCGGTCTCATCATTTAGGGAAGTTGTGTTTTTTTCTCTGTGTGTTCGTCTTTGGCTTGCAGGGCACGGAGCCTGAGCGGGAGGAGGAAACATGCGCTCGCACTAATGACAGAAAGTGTCAGGACTGTCCTTGCTGTGGGAAGGAGGCGTGTCGAGGTGCGCTCCACTTCACAGACGACCACATCAGACAGGCGGACCGCCGTAAAGTGGCTGAGCTCAGACCGGGCGCGGACATTAACCTTCCACGAGACATTGAAGTGCACAGACTCGACTCCGAGTGTGACGTCAAGAAGAAATAAAGTTTTCGTGCTACTTCGACTTACTCGACTTGTGTTAGTTTGTCAAGGGCACATTATGGGTTTGTTGTATACAAGTGGAGGGAAGATGAAATGTCCAACCCCCCATGTCTAGCTTATGGTCGGGTACAAGTCCTCAAGCTACAAAATCCCGCAGCTGCAACTTTATCGACTTTGTGTCTGGGGGCACGCCTTATGTAACGGGCGCCATCGTTGTAGTAAAGCAACATATTATGCATTCGCTTTTCATTGATTTCTAAGTAGAGGGACCCAGTGCCGCCCCTTTTTGCAGAAGGCTCGTGTGCCAACATTTAAAGTTGAGCAGTTAATCAAACATATTCGATAGGTGATAAATCACAGAACACTGCAAAACATTATCTGCTTCCAGCTTTTCAAATGTGGGAACTGGCAGCTTTGCTGTATTTTATAATCACTGAAAAATTAACCGTGAAATGCTTTGGACAGCCATTCGATCACACCGAGAAACTTGAAGACGTACTCTTGGGCTGCGAGATGGAAGTTTTTTAAATACTTTTCAGATATTATGAACTAAATGAATATTAAAAAGGTAAGCTGCTGCTTCTTTCTCTTTGAGACAAAAGTCTGAAGGCAGCTCATCCTGTTCACAAATCATTAAATGTCAGACTTACAATAATCCTCGTTCGTGCGGAGACGTGGCACACACTCTGACATTTACATATCCAGGAATGAGGCGCAAGCGTCATTATCAAACTGTTTAATTAAATACAGCTCTGAGATTTTTTCTCCATTTGTCACACGAGATGAGATAAAAGTGCAAATGGCGACAGCTGTTACGATCTTACAGCCCCTACGTGCTGGAGAAAAAGTATATAAGAAGCTGCTGCACACAAACAGATTTGGTCCCAGAGGCTGATGAATGTGTTGCTGGTATAAAGGTGGATGTTTTATTATTTGCAGGCTATGCAGAAATGCTCGTCAACAGAGTTTCGCCTTGTTTTTCCTGACAACTGTGCTGATGAAGCTTTAATCTCTGCACTGAAGGGGCGCCTGGAACAGCGAGGCAATACAAAGCAGAAAGTTTTTGTTTGTCCTGTCAAACCAACCGCAGAACGGGGGAAAGTCTGTGAGGGGTTATGATGTGTTGCACCGACAGTATCGCAACTACGCTGCACAGGCTGTGGTGCAGTTTGACTACCAACAGGCAAACTTCAGTGTAGGGGTGGGCGATATAAACGATATAAATTTGGCCAACGATAGAGATTGACTATACCGTCCTATCGCAAAAGCGCATGTTGATGATGTCATCAAGCTGCGCCTGTTTTGGTCGAAAGC